TGCATTCAGCCTACTCCGACGCTTTCTGTCAACTCAAATCATATATTTGTATGTATATATATGTTTTTATAGATTCAACGACACTCTATAAAAACAATAATTGGTTTTTTTTAAATATCGTCGAACGTAAACGTGTGGGGCACCTCTGGCCCTACGTATTACCCCTTTCAACTAAGCAATACTGTCATTCACTCTTGTCAGTTGTCTTCAACTAGTCCCTGCCAGCTGAATATCAACGCGCAGACGCAGAAATGGCGAACTGTATTCAGATAGGGGGCAGCATCATCGCCAGCTGGAAAACCCGCTCAGTTGTCTGGAACAAGTACGAATCTCCTATTAGCCATCTGTGTGGTGTGCATGCGCGATAAGCGGGCATGACTGCTCGTCAACAGCTGCGAGCAACCAAGGCAGATGATGGAGGCACATAGACTAGGAAGTTTTCGCCTACTTTCCATAGCGGTGGGTCGATAAAAGGTTAACGTTCCGCATTGATGGTAGCAGCGGGAGCGACAACATACGCAAAGGCTGCCAAAGTAAAAGCGAGACTGAGAGACATTCTGCATGATGGGAACTAGAATTGGAAAAGCATCCCATCGCGTCCGGGGCCTTCGAAAGCTGACTTGGGCTATTTGAGACTGTCTTACCTACTGGTTCTTGTTTCGCGTCACCATCAAGTGAGAGCTCACCCGTGCATTGATTGCTTCCCACTCGATATGCCTCATTCGCCATGCATCCCTCTTCTGGCTAGCCAAATCAAAAAGAAACTAATAAATAAACGGCCGAAGCGAGCACAGGTAATAGTCGCGTGTCTTGCTTGAGCCACACATTATAACGGGGCATTCCGATTTTCATGTGAACACTGAATTAGCAGAACCTGGCGGTCGTAGAGAAGTTTCGTGGTGCGGTGCAACGATGCCAGTGGTGGAGAATAATTTAGTCTACTCTGTACCGTACAAATCATATGTTTTTTGCAATGCTACTATATCCGAAACGCGATATCCGTAGTCGCTTAAAACAGTGCTACAACTGCTTGATGCAACAATCATGTTTTTGCCAGAGAAAATCGAAAAAAAACTTGAAACGAAACCACCGCAAATAGGCCCACATCTAACGATAGAGTACGGCCGTAAGTATGTTGTCGAACTGATCACTCCTTATTATAGTGTCGACTTGATGACAAGCTATAATACTGACATGACTACCGATCTTGTGTTACATAGATCTCCGAAATTGATTGTAATATAATTTTTAAGAAACCCGCATTTTTTAGGCAATTTTTAGGTTTCGCTTTATTATATATATATATATATATATACTATACATTACTATCTAATATAGTAACATTATTTGTAAAGACTTACGCATTGAATTTAATTTACATTTTTCCGCTCTACAATATTAAATCACGCAATGAACTTTTCATCGAACTAACATCGCTTCGTTCCAAAACAATCATATTCAATAGACTTCACGTGAGTGCTACGGTTGCGTTGTGGCTTGGAAAAATAACTGAATAGTCTCTTCATTAGTAATTACCTTTTATTTATAAGCTACTTTAATGAAGCAAAATGCTTTCGACCTTCCATCACGTAAATTTAACGGGCTTCGGAGTCTCTAGGCTCCTATCGAAATAATGTTTTACAGAAAAGTAAACAAGTTTCAATTAGTTTACTACTGAAAGGGCCTGAATCGAACCTATAAAACATTTTCTCACGGCTTTCATCACGCTCAACTGTTGTGTGTATGATCCTCAATTAAAATACTTTATTAATATGCATGTATATAATATTTTTCTCCCGGTATATAAAAATAACGTCCTAATATAAAATCTACATCTATTTGCCTACGACTAAAAGTCCCAAGTGCTTCGTGTTATGTATTATCGGCGGCACGATGCAACAAACACGCGATGGAAGAACGGCACGCGATGGAGAATGGGTGCCCCTATACCTATTTTCGCTTGAAAAAATACGCTATGAATTCGAAAAATCGTGCCGAATTGTTTGGCGTAGCCGCAAGGAATAAATCAAGTTTCTGAAATAATGCTGCATGTTATATGAATAAAGTTATCTTACGATAAATGGTTATAATGGCTTACGTAATTACGATCCTTTGAAATAATGGTAGCTTCCTATTGCTCTGACGAGTGCTGCATTATTTTCTGTTGGCGTCAATGTCTACTATATACACACATATATAAATGTAAATTAGCGTATATTAACTCCGGGGCGATTCTTGATGCCCACAACAATAATGCCCTCGATGGCTGAACAAAAAAAAAGCGAAGCCCTACAGCAACATTGGCTTATTCACTCCGCCCAAAAAATCAACTATGGTATTTGAACAACGATTGATAATTCTTTATATTGTTAAGTAGTAGATGAGATAGCGCGAGCCAGCAAAAAGAATGACAACATTTTATGTACAATAGGTTGACGGCTGGCGTCAAGCAGCAGCAGATATTCCAACGATGATTCCTGGTGCGCATCGTATCGAAGTCTCGAATCTTGCCATAGAATTTTTGTTATGTACTTATGACTACGATGCATATAGATTTGTCTAGAGACGTGTCGGGTTCTGTCTGACGGCTCATCTCGCCAAGATCGCCTAGGCCCTGGCACGTGCTCCAAAATTCGTTTGTATCACGTTAAAGCTGTTCTCAATGGCACCGTTTAGGGGAGAAAAAAAGGTAAGTCCGACTGGATAATCATTCCACGCAGTATCATTATACGAGAGATTGATCCAATCGGTTGCCGCGAGCCGTTGTTGAACTTTTCAGAAACTGTCGTTACCAGTACTAGATTCGAATAAATAGATCTTCTATCACTGATATGTTTCTTAGTTCACAACACCCGATTAATCACGCTGTCCCATTAACCTGCGGCATGGGCTGGAAGGAAAGTTTTCCTGGTTGCCTTTCTTCCTAGGACAACAATCATTTTGATCAATTTCTTTTTAGTAGAAACAGTCTAGAGAAAAAAAGAGCTATACAAAAGGTAGCAAGTAAATATATAGTATATATATATATATATATAACCAAGAAAACATGCTCTGTCGAAATTTAGGCATTTGCATTGAATTCTGGGGCACTGTTGCTCACTGTTGGCTAGAATTTTAATCCTAAATATTTTTCTAAAAAAAAACCAATTACATTATTTCGAGACCGATAACACTCCAGTGGTATCGTACGGTAGAAACTAAAATTCTTTTTCCATTATTTTATCAACACAGTTTTATATACCGAGATCTTCGTGCTGGTTTTATTTAATAAGAAATCCAATCTCTTACATCACTTTATTACAATAGTCTGCTCCTTCAAAAAAAGCTAACTCGTACTAACTGCTTGCTCAAACAAAGAAGCTTTAACCGCCTGTCTTTTTTGATAATGAAGGCCTTGATCATCTCATCAGCCAAGATGCTATTTCTGATCTGCTAGGGTCTGTACGGGATGGTTTCGGAACTGCGTTTTTATATTATGTTAGCAGATCAATCAGGACGAGCGAAAAATGTGTCCTAAGTTGTGTCCTTCCTAAGGCTTCCGGTAGGAGTAGCTGAAGACAGAACATAGACAAGAGAATTCGATTACGTTTCGTTGTCTAATTAATTGTAGGCACAATCAACTACGTCACGGTAGAATGGCTAGGTGAAAAATCTACGGCCGGGTGCTCATCAATGAGCTTAGACTTTGCTACTTGTATGACAGTCGAATCCGATCAGTTGGTTCGTAAGCTACTTAAAGCTGACACTAAGCTTTTTGGAGCAATCCTTTTTCGAAAGGTTTTTTTGCCCCTACGTTTATTCGTGGTACTATCCAGCATTGCCTTATTGAATGGCAGTACCCGTTTGCCTAAAGTTGTATACTCTGTCTAATTGACTAATTCATTAAGGGCCTATGATACAAGATAAAAGGTAACCACGGTCCTGGACCTTCAAACAGTTCGAGGTGCTTTCATGCAATACAGCAAAGCGACTAGTGGCACCTTTGCTGAATTCTAATAAAGGTATCATCGGTTGACCTCGAAGGAGTCTGAAGCCTCGGATATGCAATCGAAAATCCTCGATACTGTCATTGTTGCTTCTGTTTTCGTATGAAAAATATGCCTCGTCACCGCTGGTGTTCAAACTGATTTGTTGATATACCGTCGAACCGACTCGACAGACTGGGAATGGCGACCAGAGGGAACACGAAACTGGCCCGGAACTATAGTTCGCGAGATTCCGCGAATACTTTTCATAAGATGGGGCGGGAAGCTCAAGGGAAAACCGTGACGAATTTGTGAAAGGGGCGGCCAGGGTGGCGGGTTAAAGTTGGGAATCGAGGCAGTACGACTAGGTGGGTCGAAGACGCAGGGAACCAGCAGCTGGGAGCTCAGCGACCTCGAGTCTGTAAGAGCTTTATGTTTGTGTGTAGAAGCCGTCTCCGCTGGTGGTGATGTTAAGTCCCTTCCCAGTCGCTGGAGGGAGGGTAGCAGCTGAGTGCCACGCGGATAGTTGGTTGGCTATGGGCATGGCTGAGGTCGAGTATGGCTGCTGAATGTTTGTCGGTCTGTTGGCGTCACGGGAGGATCTAGAAACGGGAAGGGCTGGTCCGCTGCTACCATCAGCACCGCCGAACCCAGCAGTGCGAGAAAAAGCTGTCGGCCGGCCGACTGGCTGGATACCCTACCTCGACCAAATGCGTAAACCGCTGTCGATGCTGCTCCAGCAACGACTGACTGTGTTGGTGGAGGCCCAGGCGGCCTGGCCCTGCCGGTGCCGGTCCTGCTAACAGTGGCTTACCGTTTCTGCTGACGGCGCCACAACGCACGGGCACAGTCAGCACAGAACAGCACAGCTCGGAGGCGAGGCAGCTAGCTTGCGGGAGAGGGCAGCAGTGGGAATTGGTAACGAGCGGCGGCTGAGAAGGGAAAAGGGTGCCCGGCGCACGCACGCTACCCAAACAGGCGGGCAAGTAAGCGAACGAACAAGCAACTAAGCGCGGCGTTGCGCGGCTTCCACCTAACAGCGACGCTGGCGGTGGCGGCAAAGACGGAACGGCGCGTCAAATGCCGTCGACGTCATGCGACTGCTGCACCTGCGGCAGCAGCTGAGTAGCGCGACTAAAACATCTATGTGCAGCAAGTTGACTAGTAGTTATTTTCGCGCATGTGAAGAAGATTGGCGGCAGCGACGAGAACAAACGCAAGAGACCAGCGACAGTGACTCAAACGACGGTTGCCGCTATCAGCGATACGGATAGCGACGGCATGGGCACGGGTACAATTACTATCGATTGCCTAGGTCAAGTACAAAATAATTGACAGCATTATATGGCTAGAACTTCAATCATTACTTCTACAGCATTGATAAATGCTAATATTGAATTAATACGAGCTAGCCGCGCTGATATTGCCAGCTGTACGTTGGTATCAGTACAGCCGCCATGATTGTGACTGGATTCGACCGCTACTGCGGCTACCGTTGAATAGCGTTGAACTTTGACCGCGAGCTTTTGTCATCTCTCCTGCACCTGCCACAAATGACAACACGGACGAAGTGACTGGCATGGACAAAAGGCAATCGTATATACGTTTGTAAATACAAAGAAGCAGAGTTACAAGTAAACAGAAAACGAAAAGGAAGAAAGACTAGTCAGACAATGGCTGATTGATAGTTAAGTCCTGCCCATCAGTGTTATATTGTACATCTGCGATCATCGTTGTGGCTTTTTTATGGTGATAGTGATGATCGCAATAACCGTTATCGGTCGGCCTAGCAATTTTACCTCAGCCGATAAGAACCCTGATAATTTTGGCGGACGGAGAAATCGATGACATTAACGAAGAAAGTTCGGTGGAAGTGAATGAATCAACAGCAGTGAAGAAGGGGAACGGCAGAAAGTAATCTATAATGGCACCCATAGTACCGATGTCCACGCTACCACAACGCTTCAACATAGAATGAAAAAGTGGAAAGCGAATTTAAATTGCTTAGTGTCTCGCAAGCAAACAAAACAGGATTCGCGGTATGAGCAATGTCGACGATGTCTATCGCCGGTCGCCGTTGTTGCTGACAGGCAATTCAGTCAAGTTAATCTGATCCGAAAAGCACGAAGATAAAGAACAAAAGGAAAAAAATTAGAAGACTCTCTTACAGTCCTATGACTTTCAGCTCGGTATTTTCAAAATCATCGTAAAAACGTAGACAAAAAATAGTTCAATTGCCCCCTTCGGATGCGGCTGTTGGGACACACACAGGCTAACTTTTAACTGGTGTTATTATGGATTACGCTTGTAATTCTGTCGTCTAGAAATACTGTTTGTTCAGCGATGCCAATACTCTTCGCAATCCAGCTATGTTAATTTGCTGTTAGCAACATATTACTCCGTGAAGAGAACGTGGCTTAAGTTCAAGGGCAGTTCTGATTTTTCGGTATGTAGAGTTGACCGTGTGTTAGGGACGTACCGGAATGCGTGAAAGCGCACGTGCAAGTTTAAAGCGTAGACCGAAACACGGGACGTGAGCTAAGGCATACGGTTACGTTTCCCACACGCCGATAAAGCTGTGTGTAATACATCAGAGGGTTGGCAGATCTGCGACTTCTAATTCCAGTACCGTTCTTCCGTTAGTGCCACATTAAAAAGATTCGACTCTGAGGTTGATTGTAGCAGAGAAGAAAACGAATTAAAGTGAAGTGAGTGCCGACTGTAAAACTTTGTTTCCGTATATTATGCGTCAACCTGCCGTCTTGGTTTTCCGATCGCTTCAGCTGAATAGTTCTGAGTTTGTTATTTGTTCACACGTTGATTTTATCATACTTCGAGACATCTTAATGTTATTTCATTGCGGTCGTACTGAAAACGAGGTATCGTGAACGACGAGTCAGGCGACACGCTGACTAGCTGAAACAAGAGACAGAGTCAGGGTTTCTGGCCGGTGTTCAGTGTTCGAACGCTGCGCCCAGCTACTACAATGGGTTGTACGGGAACGAAACATTTCTTCATGAAGAAGGAGTGCAAGGCCCTGCAGAAGAAGGAGGTTATGGGCAGTGCAGAAAGAGGTAAGAACGAGTTGCAGTCATTGTTCGAGTATGTCAGAAACAAACGGAAAAGAAGAAATTCACTATGATGGTCATTTAGGTGTTTCGATACTTTCTCCTGTGGCCATCATTATTCTGTAAGCACTCGATTTTAACCCGTAAAGCACGACAATTTGCAGTTAATCGATTATACACCGTCGATTGGGTAGTACGTGCTTGAAACAATGAGAGAAACAGCACCTCACAGGAAGCCTACCGAATTTTGGACTACAGTATTTAGAATGGTATAAAATAACTGATCCGAGTAAACGATTTGGATCGAACGTACACCACGCAAATAGGGAGTGTACCATTGTTACAGTGTAATCGCTGCATGTTTGATTGCAAACAGCCATGTTTTTCAACTGGGCCATCCGAATTCAGATTGTATGGCTGTATGCAATCAGACAACCGATCTATTACCTCTCATCGATGATCTGTCATCTGTCGCCATTAACGACCATCACCCACCTGCTCCTTCGTTTGCTCATTCCTTTGTGCAAACGACCCATTTTTCCTGTATTGTACACTTGCGTTGTCCGGCTCCTGTTCTTCTTTTTCCGGCCCATACGCAAAAACCTCCGAAACAATAGACAAAAGAAAGTGGACATATAGGGCTTTTCGTACCTCAACAACTTATGACTTTTTATAGCGGCTGTTTACTTATTGTTAGGCGTCCTTCCCTCCCCCATTGATCCACTTCACAAGAGTTGAGCTTCTGGTCGCACGTGACAGCGTTGGCCAACTGTTCTGGCTATAGATTTTGGGCTGGTTTTACAAGGACCAAACCCAACCACGGCCGGAGTGCCAAGTCTAAATTTCCAGTGACATAACGTTGACTTAAGGAATTGCAAAATACGCTCTTTGTTATGGTACGATGTCACCGGAATCCAGCTTAAATCTAGTGACGCATCTTCTCGGATGCGATTATAGCTATAAGATCCTGTGGGGTGGTTTCCATCATCGCTTTTGCTGCATTGTCCAGATGTTCATGGCGCGCTCATTGTGGCTGCCGTTGTTGACAGCGTACGCCGTTAATAAAAAGAAAAATATGTTCCGTCGAAAGGGCGGCGTTTTTGTAGCTTGCGAGAAGAAACGGTTGCCGGATCGTCAAAATATTGGGTGACTGGGTTGTCCGGACTGGCGAAAACGCTTGCCCACTAGCCTAAGGCAGAACAGGAAAAGGGGAAGCTGATGAAGAGAACGCTGCTGCTGTTGATAACAGCCGACTGGTGACTGCTGTTGTAATGTCAACAATTGGCTATCAATGCTGTTACAACAGTCATATGTTATAGCATGCTTTTGAAGCTGTTGTCTAAGGGCCAGCAATCAAAGGCAGCTACACAGGATGGGTCTATACGTTGCGCCATTTCCAGGTAACTGCAACTCCCAGAATGCAGGTAACTGCAGCGAGCTGAATCTCTGATGGGAATCCGTAACTTCTATGGCTAGTCTCTTCCTTTTTCCATCTCATAATGTTAACACGTTACGAACATGGCAGAAAGGCTCCCGAAGCGATAAAGCTTCTTGCGGTGGACTGTAAGGTGAGGGGCTTCGTCATTGTTTTTTACAAATGCTGAACTGGCGCTTGTACAGGTTTATGCAGGCGATCTTATCTAGTGGCGATATTGGCAATATAAACGAAAGAAAAAGGAAAGTTTCAGCACTTCGACAAAAAATAAGAAACTGCATTTTTCACGTATATTTACGTTACAGTTACCTTTACAGTTCTAGCCGTTCAGCTATCTAGTTTGCGTTGTTCGAAATACTGTGACATCTTAAGCTATTACAGGGCAGATGCCTCGTTTACAGGTTGCAGTTTCCTAATTTAATAAAAAATGTTTACTATTATTATGAAAGGATTATAATTTTATTATTCACACATAAATCGTGTTACATTTTCATGTAGCTAGCTTATTTTCTGATTCGGTAGATACATTAGCAAACAATACGAGCACTAGTTATCTGAAGGTAGAAAATCATAATAGCAAAAATATTAACCTCACCTTCACTGACCTGTCGTCATGGCAATTGTTGAAGTATCGTATGCTTTTGGCAGTGCATACACTTTACTTCTTAGATCTGTTTTGGCATTTTATGTCTCATTTACTTATTTCACCCACGTTAACTCAATATTTCCTTTGACGGAAGAGTAAAAATTTGAATACGTTGAACATACGAGACCACAGGGAAGCAACCATTACCCCGTTGACGAGGGCCACTCCACTCAAACATAATGGCTCCCAAGAACATCAGCGGCCCTTTGAGCTGGAGACGTACAGAGCATTTATATGGGGTAGTCAGGATATAGGTCGGTATTCGTGACCCTTGACATTTTTTTATTGGATCGCTCACTGGGTCCGGCGGAGACATCGGCCTCCGTGCACTTATACCTATCTAACATGCTTACTTAATATCGCTAATGTAAAGATGCAAATATAAAAAAGGCATTTCGGAAAAGGTGATCAACAGCGGTACTAATACTATAAGTTCTGCAATGCCTTAATGAGCGCTGGCGAAAAAATTAAATGGAGTGATGGTCATTTGTGTAAAGGATCGATAGCATTTGATAAGTCGAGGAAGTTCTTCTAGTGGTCTCGTCGAAACCTGTCCTATTGATAGGAATAGCAGGAGACGAGTTTAGGACACTTGTCGAGCGTACGGATAACGAGACTGCTTCAAAATTCTAATCTGCAATAATGAAAGATAATCATCTACCCGATTACTATATGGTTAATGATGTCCTCACGATATCTACTAACGTTATGATAACGATATGATTAACGCAACCCTTACAACATATGCGCAACGCTACAACAAATCGTATCTAATTGAATTTTGTTAGGCCATCGACCAAACACGACCAAGACCACGTTCAACTGAATGGCATTGGCAGAATACCAATTCAAAACAAATTTCCTGGCAATCGTAAGCTACCACAATCGGATTAAAAGCAATGAATATGGATTATATACACTATAAGAACGGCTGAAATCAATGGGTTCCTTGTATTGTCAGGCAATTGTGGTAGGACAAACGCAATGCGAATTGGTAAGGCACCAACAACCAAGCCAGTGTCGTTTCTTATCGAGTTTCGATACAAGCAAAGGCCAAACAGCCTTGATTCGGCACAAAAAATTGCCTACGTGTCACGATGGACTACCGAACGTTTAGCGGATAATCTTTAATAGATAATACAGCACTGGAGAAAAATCACAATAATTCCACTGCGGTGGAATACGTCAGTTGGTCACACATGTCTAGTGCATAAATTCTCCTGTTGGGTTTTCTTACCCGCCTAGGACAAACTTTTTCAGTTTCATATACAGTAAATTTATGCCTTGGGTTAGCTGAATTGATAGCTCCGACTATGTACAATGCCACCCATCTTATTATGATTTTTTAAGACGGTTTTGATTACTGTCATATACACAGCATAAGATTGTTAAAGAAGTACTGGCCTATCTTTACTTATTGATTTTCTTTTGTAAGTTTTGATTCGCTAGAATCCAATTGTTCCACAGTGCTATTTTCTCCAAGACCATTGTCATTGTTTCGTTCGAACCAAGAAATTTTATCCCGTACTTGGACTCTAAAAATAAATATATCGGACGGTAGGAGACAGCAACTACAGACACTTTTTTTCCTTTTTAGCTGAGAGCGGTAAGTTGTGGGGCATTTTAAGCTGCGAATCAGCCAATAAAACAATTTGTTTATAACTGAAATTGAAATTTAACTATGGAATATCGACCTAAAGAACGGATTCTGTTTGACTTTCGGGTTCGATAAAAATAGCCCCGAACCACTTTTGAAGGAGGATAACTGTTAGATGAGCCTATATCTCTTTCGCATATAGGATCCTCACAGTACCTGGAACAAATTTTCCAGGCTGTTTCCGCAGCTTCGCGATTTGAGGAGAAAGTCAGCGTGGCGAAATTACTCTCTTCCATGGAGTACGCCACCATTTGACTTCGAGCTCAAGCTAAAATTTCGTAAGGAAGAAACTTTCTCATAGTAGATGACGTTTAGCCACTAGCAGACGAAAAAAAATTCATCAACAAAACAACAGATAAACCATTACAACCGTTAGCAATGATTTGATTAATTTTCAATAGCCAAGATATGTGCTCGACAAAGCTGGGTGCTGCCTACGCGTTCTCATAGCCCTTTTAGCACATCACGGTTTATCTTGTATTCTGTTTCTATGCCATTATGTAGTTCGACCAGATTTTCGTACGTCATCGAAAAATTATGGTAGAATACGAAGTACGTGTTTAGTTTGTAGCCAGCTAAGTTAGTCAGTAGATCTTATCATGTGGTCATACAGGCAGCAGAGAATACATTTTCTGTCTTTACATCCCTATTATATCCGTATTTAGCACCTTTACCTGTACATAGCCGGTCGTAGCCGCCCGACCGGTAGAATGAGATACCTCTGTCAGTGTCAGAGACCCGACTGAACAGACGGATCATACAAGAGGCGATCACAATAACAGCAAAAGCAGCAGCGGCATAACTTTATTGAATCATTTAATCTCGGCATGTGTTCATAGAACAAAAGTACAGAGTGACTGGTCCTCGAATTAGATTTTTTTATCCTTATATTAACCTCGTCTGCCCGGCCAACGCAGTAATGTTGCCGGTAGTAACACAGAACAGACATAGGTTAAACGTTACCGTATAGCTCCGGCTATAAAAGCACACCGCCCATATCAAACATTACTTCTCCTCTACCTAGTTTTTACCTATAAGTGGTGCGGCATCACGTACTACTAACAATTTATTATCATCTTTTCTTCCAACGCGTATGTACCACTTTATATCGCAGCAGTGGTGGCAGTCCGAAAGTTCACTTAACTCATTGTCTGCTCTTCTGTAGCAAATAGATATCAGAACCGTTTAGCAGTTCTCATCAGTGGGAACGATTTGTTAAGCAGCCTCCCCACTTTCTCGTCTGTCCACTTTAATTTCCCAATTTACAG